GGGGCTGGCTGGCATGTGGTGCTGGGGGATCGAACCACCGTCGCCTGTGCTTTGCTAAGCTTGTTCTAAGTAGGTGCTTTAGACCACTGAGCCATCTCACCAGCCCCTGTATATACATGTTATTTGTCAGAAAAAACTCTATTGCTCTGATCTTGAGAGGCCCAGGTAACCCTAGCTTTTCTTTGCCTTACTCATGTTTAATTTTTTTTTTCTTTTTGTCCCTACCATTTTGGGAATTGAACTCAAGGCTTATGCATGCTCAGCAAGCTGTCTTCCACTGAATTATACCTCAACAACTTTTTGTTTTCAATTGATTTATATTTTTGTAACCGGGAATTGAACTCAGGCCCTCATGCTTGAATTTTTTTTTTTTTTTTTTTGGTGGAACTGGGAATTAAACTCAGGCGCTTTCACTTGCCAAGGAAGTGCTTATTCTGCTGAGCTATCTCCCCGACCCCGAATTTTTTTTTTTTTTGACAACATCCAAAACTTTTAGTTTTCCTGCATTAGTCTCCCAAAATGGTGGGATTACAGGTATGTGCCACCATGCCGTTTCTTATTTTATTTCTTAACTTTTCCAAGAATAACACGTTCTGATTTCCAGTTCCTGGCTTTCACCTAGTTTGTGTACAGTCAGTTTTAATGACTTTCTTGTTTATTTCTAGTCAACCACAGAAGCCCCTGTGAAGCGGGCATCTCTACTGGGCGATATGCATTTTCGAAGCCTCCGAACCAAACTGCTCCTCATGTCTCGCAATGAAGAAGCTACTAAACACCTTGAAGTAAGTTTTGGCTCCTCTTTCTTCTGCTAAATAGTATTGTCTGCCTGCCTTCTTGTCCCATCCTTTACTCATGTTGTTGTGTTTACAGAACAAAAAGTAGAAGGCTTTTTGGGGCCATTAAGCTAAGATTGGCTTTTTTTTCTCAAATACCTCAAGATGGCAGAGCCCCATTATGTTACAGTTACAGTTATTTTTTAGGGGGCTGGGGAGATGGCTCAGTAGGATAAGTGCTTCCCTGGCAAACATAAGGATCTGAGTTCAATCCCTGGTTCTGCCAAAAAAAAAAAAAAAAGTTATTTTTTAAACAAGTAGAGGACTTCTTGGTCAGTTGTAATTTTTCTGTTTTGGGGGCATGAGGGCTGGGAAATGAATGAAGAGTCTGTATTGAGCTACATTCCAGCCATTTTAATTTTTTTTTTTTTTTTCAAAACAGTTTTGAACTTTTAGTCCTACTGCTTCAGTCTACCAAAGTGTGAGCCACCACATGTGGCTGAAGTGAAATTTTTCTTAAAACACAATCAGTAATTTTTTTTTTTTTTGTGGAGCTGGGGATTGAACTCAGGCCCTTGCACTTGCCAGGGAAGCACTTACTCTACTGAGCCATCTCCCCAGCCCCGATCAGAGTAATTTTATTTAAAAAGGGGAAAGGTGCCAGTTGTGATTGAAACAGGATCACTTTGAGTTCCAGGACAAAAATAAGGGGGATGTGTGTCTGGGAATGGTGATGCATGTCTGGAATCACAGTGCTAGAGACTGAGGCTGGCGGCGCATTGGTTCAAGGCCAGCATGTGAGTAAGGACATGGTGAGCTGCATAGTGAGTCCCACAAAAGTTAAAAACATTTGAAAACTAAAATTTGAAAGGGGCCATGGCTCTGACCTCCAGCAGTGCCCCCAGATTAGCTCTGGAATTCAAATCTCTTTGTGAGATATATGGGAGAATTGTATATACAATGGGGGGAAAATGCCTGGATTTGAACTCCTAAGTCTTTAATAAATAATTGTCTTGGGCTGGTGAGATGGCTCAGTGGTCTAAAGCACCTACTTAGAACAAGCTTAGCAAAGCCCAGGGACCGCGGTTCAATCCCCCAGCACCACATGCCAGCCAGCCCCGCCCCCTGGTGGGCTGAGCTGGCCACACACACACACTAAATAAATAAATAAATATTAAAAAAAAAAAAGTTTAATAAATAATTGTCTTTTGGCAGGTCATTTTATTTCCATAAACTTTGTCTTCATCTATTATAACTAGATACACTAGAGTATTTGTACAAGTTTGATTTGTTAGGGCTGGGGAGGTAATTCAGCGGCATAAAAAAAGTGTGATTTGTTGTTGCCCGGGCTGGGGATTTGGCTCAGTGGTAGAATGCTTGTCTAGCAAGCTAGACGCCCTGGGTTCAGTCCTCAGCACCAAAAACAAAAAATAAATCTCCCCTAAAAAACAATTCAAGAGCCAGCCAAAAGCTCAGCAGATTAAAGTGCCTGCAAGCAGGCGCAGGGGCCAGGGTTACATTGAGACTGGGCAATTGAGACTGGGCATGGTAGCACGTGTCTGTAATCCCAGCATTTGGGAGGCTGTAAACAGGAGAATGGCTATGAGTCCTATCTACACAGTGAGACCCTGAACACTCTGTTGACCCTTCCTTAAAAATAAAAAAATAAAAATAAAAATTCAACCAAAAAAATACAGTAAAATAAAGACCAAAAACAAGGAAACTGATTTGTTGTTGCTTTTAGGGGGTGCTAGGGACTGAACTCAAGGCCTTGTGCATGATAGGTAAGAGCTCTAATAGTGAGTTACACCTTCAGCCCCTCTATAAGTTTTTTGAGTTTTGTTATTGTAACAGTTGTCAGTTTCCCTTTTCCTGGGTATTAATACCATTCTAAGTGAGAGTAGAGGGGGTATGTGTGTGTCTGTGTTTCTGTTTGGACATTTTTTCTCATTTATCAAGTGAACTTATTTTGGGTGGCTATTCTCTGAGCCTGGAAAAATTCTGGATCATTTTTTAGTCTTTAGGTTGCTACGTAGAGAGGTAGGTAAGAAATTTACTGTAGGGGCTGGGGAGATGGCTCAGTAGAATAAGTGCTTGCCTGGCAAGCACAAAGGCCTGAGTTCAATCACTGGTTCCGCAAAAAAAAAAAAAAAAAAGAAAAGAAAGAAATTCACTGTTAACTCAGATGATACAATTCTCTGCTCCAGTTTGCAGTAAGTTTCCTAATGACAAAAGTAGTTTTCTCAGAACTTAACTGTATGGTTCTGTGTAGCAGAGTGTACCAGATAAGTTAAGTCATAGAGCCTGTGTCTTGGAAGTAGGGACATGGGGGCAGGGAGATAGCTCAGTAGAATAAGCACCTGAGGGGCTGGAGAGATGGCTCAGTGGTCTAAAGCACCTACTTGAAACAAGCTTGGCAAAGC